TTGTTCCACATTGTTCTCCCACTCTATCCAGGCTCTCCTACACAGATCCCCCACCGAGTGGTTGACAGTGGTAGCCAGGCACCATCGAGTTCTTCTGGCCTCATAGTCGTATAGGCTGAGTCGCATGGTATACCAGTCGCTTGAACTTTGGTTTTCTTCTTTCTTCTTTGCTCTGGGTGAGGAGAGACCCATCGTTGCATCTAGATGGCTGCTTGCAAGTTTTTAAGATCCCAGTCACTACTCGCCAAAGTAGGAGGTGGAACAATATTTTGTGTAGTGTGTTATGGCAATTGAACTCGATGTCCCCTGAGACCATGGTCCCAAGCCCACACACAGGTCCAGCTACTCGCTCCCTCTGGGTAGCTGGCTGTGGCCAAGGAGTGGCTACAACCTTGTCTCTTGTCAGCTCTGCTATATACCTGGCAATTCTTACAGAACATACAAACACACTTTTAGAAACATTGTCTGCCAACCCTGTACATGGTCTTGGGCACACTCCCCCCTGCATGGTCATACCTAATAGTTCAGCCTGTCCACCCATCTATCTGCCTATATGTCAAAGTTTGTCTTCCCTGACAACACAGTACTGTATGTTCAAAAGGGTCATCTTTGCTGTCTGTACCTTTCACACACCTTTCTCTGTCTTCCTCTTCCTCAGTGCCACTATGTTGATAACTCACATTTTACTACCCATTTATTTTTAAGCAGGATGTTATTCAGTTTACATGTATTTGATTTTTTTTCCATGTCATTGATTCCTAATTTTATATAGCATTGTGATCTGAGAAGATGCTTTGTAGTATTTCATTGTTTTTAAATTTATTGAGGCTTGCTTTGTGACCTGATAATGGCTTACTTTGAAGAATGTTCCATGTGTACTGGAAAAGAATGTGTATCGTGCTGTCATTGGATGGAGTATTCTTTATAGGTCATGAGATCAAATTGGTTTATTGTATTGTTTAGTTCTAATGTATCTTTCTTGAGTTTCTTTCATGTTGTCCTGTCTTTATTGAGAAGGTGTATTTGAGTCTGACTTGTGTATTTCGGGGCTCTTCCATTGGGTGCATAGATAGATAGGAACCATGGTTATTCCCTCTTGTTGGATTGGCCCTTTAATCGTCATGTAGTCGCCTTTGTATTGTGTGCTGGTTTTTACCTCAAGTCTATTTTGCCATAGATCAGTATTGCCACTCATGCTTTTCTTTGGTTGCCATTTGCTTGATGTGTTTTCCATCCTTTGACTTTAGCCGATTTTTGTCTTTGTCTCTGAGGTGTGTCTCCTGTAGACAGTGTATTAATGGGTCATGTTTTCTTATCCATTCTGTTACTTTCTCTCTTGACTAGTGAATGGAATCCATTTAAATTCAGTGTAATTTTCTGTAGATATGGATGTCATTTTGCGGTTTGTGCATTGATGCTGATAATTTCTATGTGGATATCATCTTGACTTCCTCTCCATTTGAAAGTTCTGTAACTACACCGTTTATTCCCTCTTTTTGTTTTGTATTTGAGATCATCTACAAATTGATAACTCTGGTTCCCTATTTTCAGTTTTGTAGGTTTATTTAATCGTGAGTACTTCTGTATCTGGATTGATTTCTTGGTGATATTGCCATGTGTCTTAATCTCAGGTTATTATCTTCCTTTATCAGTTCTCTGAGGGATGCCCTTTAGTATTTCTTGTAAGTTTGGTCTGGTTTTCACAAATTCTGTTACATTCTGTTTATCTAGATGTGTCTTAATTTCACCATTGTATTTGAGGGAGAGTTTGGTGGACATAAAATTCTTGGTTGGAATTTTTTTTTCCTTTCTTTTGTATATGACATCCCATTTGCCTTCTTGTCTGCATGCTTTCTGCTGAGAAATCGGAGCTTAGTCTTGTTTGTTCTCCTTTGTAAGTAACTTTGTTTTTCTAAGTTGCTCTGAAGATTCTTTCTTTGTTTTTGGTTTTGGAAAGTTTGATTATGGTATGTCTTGGTGATTTGCTTTTGGTCTATCCTATTTGGGGTTTGTTGAGCTTTTTGACTGCATATCATCTCATCTTTTGTAATAGGGAAAATTTCTTCCCCCCCGCCCGGTCTCATGCTGTTCTGGAATTCCAATTGCACATAAGTTATTTTTCTTGATGGTGTGCTACATAATTCTTAGTGTTTTTTCTTTTTTTTTTCCTTATTTTTTCCAATTGTTCCTGTTAGAGCTTAGTATTGAGAGATTTGTCTTCAATTTCACTAATTCTGTCTTTTTTTAACTCAGTTGTATTCCTTTGTCCTTCCAATGCATTATGTATTTTTGAAACTTTAATATTAATCCTCTGGATTTCTATTTGCTGTTTTTGTATGCTTTCTAGTTTTCCATTTATTTTATCAGTTTTTTCTTGTAATTTTTTAATTGAATTCTTCTAGAGTTTTTGTCTGTGTTTTCCTTGATTTTGTCTGTATTTCCCTTGATGATCTTTTTCTTGATCTGTTGATGAGACCTAAATATAATTATTTCAAATATCTTACCAGGTAGTTCCAATATGATTTCTTCCTCAGGAAAATTTTCTGGCTCTGTATTTTGGCTACTTGTTTGAGCCACCTTGTCTTGTATCTTTGTGTGATCTATGGTTGTCTGTGAGACATTGTGGTTATTGTATTTGTGTTTCACCCAAGTTTTTGCTTTATTTTTGTTTGATATATTTGGGCAAGCAGACCAGGTATGCTAATCTGCTTGCTAGTTTGGCAGCACTTAGACTCTCACCACCTCTCTCCTGGTAGGTGTGGCAGAGGCTGAAATGTGTGCTCAGTTCACTATTCCCTGTTTGTGTAGAGCAGCTGAGGGCAGGCTGGGCTGGTGTTGAATGCTGTCATCAATCAAGCGGTGCAGGAGAGGGTGGTGGCACTTGCCCAGTGTGTGGCAGCAGGAGGGAGGGGTATAATCAGATAGTGTGCATGTGGTTGCTGCCTCCTGCCGCATAGGGCAAAAAAAATAAATGGATAGAATTTTCTGAAGAGAAAAAAAGGAGAAACAAGAAAATGATTAAAACAAAAACAAGAGAAGAGAAAAAGAGGCTGGAATAAAAGAAGACAAGAGAAAAAAGGAAGGGAAAGCTGGGGCAGCAGGCAGCAGGCAGCAGAGCACCTGGTCCTTGGTGGCTGCTCGCTGGCTGTGCAGTGGTCAGAGGGCCTGATCTGCAGGAGTGTGCATCTCCAAACAAGGAGGTGGCAGCATGCAGCCCCTTTTCCGCAGAAATGCACCTTGCCTATTTTATTAGCGCTAATGTGCATGCCTTGCTTGTTCCATGAGAGAGCCTCAGGCCACCAAGGAAGCAAAACAGAGGGGGACCAGTGGGGTAGTGGTGCAGGTGGGCCAGGCTGCCCACCAGGCAGGGCAGGTGCTGTAGGGGGACTGTCACTGGCCAGCAAGTTCCTGAGGGTGGCCATACTTCTGGTCATGGGGAGGGTGTGAAGCGTAAGGGAGAGATCATACCTCTTCGGTAACGGGCCACTGGTATGGGAGCTGATACATTCCTGGCTGAACTGAACCAGTTATCTGATTCCTGCCCTGATCGGAATGCTGCTTTCTGTAATTCAAAATGACCATCCTGGCTGGGCCAGTTGAGAATTCACTGTTCTGTAGGTCTCCTTGTTTGCTGTTTTCAGTCAGTTTCTTCTTCTAATTGATAATTTGATCTACTTCTTTATCCTTTCCTTTGAATCTCAGGGTTCCAGGATTATCATCTGTATCTGTTTCACTTAGTTTCTTGGGTCTTCATTGTAGAGGGTATCCCTAGTCTGCCATCTTGCCTACTTCCCCATGGTATGTTTTGAAGACCAATATATAAATAACGGAGGAAATGTACTGCTATGCTTTTTGCATTATTGCTTTCCAGCCATACTGACCACCTTGCTTTTCCTCAAAGCCTGCAAGCACATTTCTGCAGCAGAACCTTTGCCCTCACTGTACGCTCTCTTTGGAAGTACTTCTCCCAGATAGATCATCAGCAGGACCTTCCCTCATAGCCTTATGAAAAGTAGTACCCTCACCTCCTGTTTGCCATTCTGTAGCCCCTTATTCCACTTACTATTTTCATAGTACGTTTCACTACCCAGGGTATATACATCTGTTTGCTTTTCTTTCTCTACCAAAATGAAGCTCCATGAGAGCAAGGGCTTTGTCAGTTTTGTTTTGCCGTCTGCCCAGTGTAAAGACTGTGCTTGGAACAAAGGAGCCATGTAGTAAATAGTTACTGAGTTAATCAATCAATTAATTAATGGAGCATATTCTTTCTGTCATCAATCTAAGTTAGCATCTCCTTCCTATAGTCAGAAACTAGACAAATCAGTGTTCAATTAATCTAAAAATAATTCACAGAGAAAGGTGCTTACTTGAATTAGAATTTGTTATAAAATTCACTCACCAAATACTCACTGAGCACATATTCGTATTATATGCCATATATTGTGCTAGGCACAGGAGACAAAAGTCAAAACAAAAAATTACTTACTTGTGGAACTATATTCTAGTGATGGTGGTTATTTCAGTTCATCTTTTTTTTTTTTTTTTTTAGTTTTTGTTGTTAACAGTAAAACATAGAAAAGGATTGAGTCTGTCTTGCAAGTGAAACAAACTGTGTGTGTGTGTGTGTGTGTGTGTAATTATTTTTTCACTCTCCTATGTGAACCACTCAATGGCCCTCACCCCCAATTTCTTGGAAAACATTATGGGGTCAAAAACAGGTTTTTAGTGTGAAAACTGCCAACCCAAACATAAAATACTGAGTTACCAAAACAGCTAACCAAAATTTCCTTTAACAATTTTGTATAGTGTTACTTTCCTTAAATACATGCTTTTCTTGGTATTGTGTAATCTTATAAATAGGAAAGATGATGGACAAATATATATTTCAAGTCATTAGAATTCATCTATTGCAAAATGCCCAGCCAAATATGGTTAATTCAGGTATGTTACTATCACTGATTTCCTAAAAAGTACCTTTATTTTTTCTCTCTTCTTATTAGGTCTGTTTCAAAACCAGAAAGATATAGTGGAGACAACATAATCTACAAACCACCAATGGTAAATTGCTATTTCTTAGTATATAACTTTATGTATACTTTAGATAAATGTATAATAAATATATAGTTTTATATTAATGTTCATGGAATCGTAAAATTTTAGAATGGAAAAGAACCTCAAGGCATCATCTTGCCTAGTAAAAACCTTTACAAATAAAGCTGGGAAAACAGAGGCAGTTAGTGTCAGTGGCAGAGCTGAGGTTGGGGCCTTCTGGCTCTTACGCCTTTTCCATCTCTCGGTTCTGCATTCAGTCTGGACCCTAAATTAAAAAAGAAAGGAAGAAGAAAGTTCACTCCTACCTGTATTGTATGAGCCCAGCTCCCAGATCTTCCAAGGTATAAGTTTATTGATGTTAAGGAGCAGGTAGATTGTTTTTAACCCTCGGGCTAAGAAGTTCAGTGTGTTTAATCTTGAAGCAGCTGGTCAGTCCCAGATTATGGAAGCCACAACTAAGAGGTGAAGTTATGGCTTCCTGAAATGATCTAAAGATCCGTCACAGCTTTTTTTTTTTTTTTTTTTTTGTATACATGGAAATAGAAATCTGTAGATACTTTTCAGTTCATAATTTTCAGTTTAATATTGGTGACAGTTTTTTTTGACACACCAAAGGTGTCACTTTTACGTGGTCGAATGTCAGTGTGTTGTTTGGGAAGCTCATTTACTTCTCTGAATTCAGAGCCTGTCTTTAGTGGCCGCTTACCTAGCATTGCCATCTCTTGTTAGGTTCCATCGAATTGTTTTAACTTGTAGTGACCCCATGTGACAGAGGAGAACTTCCCCATAGGGTTTTCTAGGCTGTAATTGTTATGGGGCAGACTGCCAGGTCTTTCTCCTGAAGAGCTGCTGGGGTAGGTTCCAATTGCCAACATTTTGGTTAGCAGCCAAACATCCCTCGATTGTAAGAATCTGGGACAGCATCTCATCCTGCAATGTGATGGTTAAGGGTACAGCTCCAGGATCAGACGATCTGGGTTTGAATGTCTAATATACTACATAACTAGGTGTGTAACTTTGGAAACTGGAAAAGATTCTTAGCTTCTCTGTGCTTCAGTTTCTTCATTAGTAAAAGTAGGGATGATAACAATAATAGTACCTGCCTCGTGTTGGTGTTGTAAGGATTAAAGGCATCAGCACACATAAAGTGCTTACAATAATGCTCAGACACAGTGAGGACTGAGTGTTAGCTATTTTTATTACCATCAAATTTAGGCAACTTAAAATATCAATTTTGAGTGAATGCAGAAACAGCTAATAGTAGAGAGGGCAGCTCTGAAGTGCTGTGGTTAAAGCATTGGCCTGCTAACCAGAAGGTCAGTGGTTCGAACCCGCCACCCCACCCTCTCTGCAGGAGAGAGAGGAGGCAATCTGCTTCCGTAAAGATGGACCACCTTGGAAACCCTATGTGGCATTTCTCCTCTGTCCTATGGGGCACTGTGAGCCAGGATCAACTGGATGGCAGTGGTTGATAGGAGAGATGGATATGCCTTAGATTTATAGACATCTTGTATTTTTCAAGGCTTTTTCACTGGATGTCTCCAAATTTTCTTTAACATTTTCAGCTTCAAAGAATCATTCAGTTAATTCAGTTAAATAGCTAACTGACCTAAGTCCAAGGAAAAGCAGGAGGCTTACACATCACAGGTTGGATAATCTGGTCCCTGGTAATCACAGAGTTATCAGCTATTCACTGGCTATAGCCCTTCTTCTCAGAAGTTCCAAAGTTCCATGTGTAATGTTTCTGTTATGTCCTCTATAGATTTTCTAGACCCATAGATGGATTTACTCATGCGTTTTTTTGCTAACACAGATTAGTTTAACTCTTTTGTTTGTTTCTGTTTTGGCAACAGCTTTCTGCTCCAGATATGGTGTACTTGGGATCTATGACAAATTTTGACCTGACTTTCAATTGGATTCAAGATAAATGTGTTCCTCTTGTTCGAGAAATAACATTTGAGAATGGAGAGGTATGGGCTTTCTAATATGTGTTACTATTTTTAATTCAGATTTCTGAAAGAGCAACCGTCCTCCACCCATCTATTTCAACAAACTTACCAGTTGTAAAAATGCATAGGGTGACCATAGCTATTGCCATAATATAGGCCTCAGAACCCACTGTTACACTCCCAGCAATAACAGTGGTTCACCACAGCCGAGAAAGTGAGTTTGAAAGTACCTCTCAGGTTCTGACATCCATCCTCGCTTGAGGACCCTTGTTTTAGAAGCAATGTCCTGAAGATTTTAGTTACAAATAATTACACCCAGGGAATTATCTTTTACCACAAAAAGATTGTTCTGATCCCCACCGATCCTAAAAGAGAGAAGTTGTGTTGTCTTTTTTATTGTGAATCATGAAACCAGTTACCAGTGACCACGTAACTAATCTCAGTCAGTCATCCACACCCTGAAATAAAGCCTACCCAAAGACTTACAGGTGCCCACAAACACCCAAGAGACTGGAGGAGGCACGTACAAGGGGGAGTTCTGTGAGCTACCTTTGTTTTTGTTTTTTTCTCTACTCTATTGGAAACATAGCTTTCATTTCATTGATGCCAGACTGGCCATTTCATTTTCAAAATGGGTTTTGAAAGGTCTAGGAATGCAAAACCTTTTTATTACATGCAAATTTTAAGTGTACAGCTCAGATATTAAGTGTACATCTCAAAAATTATCACAGAGTAAACTCACCCATATAATCACTACCTAGTCAGGGGTTGGAAAATATCTTCCATAAAAGGCCGGAATGAAATTATTTTAGACTTGCAGTTCATACAGTGTCTCTTGCAACTAGTCAACTTCATAGCTGAATGCAAAAGTAGCCTTATGTGATATTTAAACAGATGAAAGTACTTGTATTTTCATAAAACTTTACTTATGGGCACGTTTAATTTTTACATGTTACGAAACATTACTATTTTGAAAATATTTTTCCATCATTTGAAAACAAATGTATAAACCATTCTTAGCTTGCAGGCCTTACAAAATCAACAGGCCAGACTTGACCCACAGACTGTCAATTGCCAGCCCTGATCTAGGTCAGAAACAGAATATCGCCCAAACCCCTTGTCCCTCTCCCAGTCATCATCCTTCTGTCCTCACAGCCACCATGCTGATTTTGAGCAGGACTCTCAAAAGGTTTGCCTGTTTTTGAACCTCAAATGCAGTCATACTCTTTTGTTCTGGCTTATTTCAGCCCACTTTATGTTTGTGAGATTAATTCATTTTGCGTAAAGCTGCAGTTCACTCAGGGAGTATACCACAATTTGGCCATTCTGCTGTCAGTGGACATGTGATTGCTTCCACTTGTTCACTGTTGTGAATAGTGCTGCTGTGAGCATTGTTCCTTTTATATTTCTCTTCCTGAATGTATTGCACATTTCTCTTGGCTGTGAGTAGGATTACTGGGTCACCGGGCACACATATATTCAGCTTACTTACCAAACAGTTTGCCAAATTGGTGGTCACACTTTACATTCCCCTCAGTGTGAAAAGTCATTAGTTCACATCTGTTTTGGTTACCTAGTGGAGCTCTGGTAGCATAGTGCCTAAGGCACTTGACTGCTAACCAGAAGGCTGGCAGTTCAAACCCACCAGCCACTCCTCGGAAGGAAGATGGGGCAATCT